GATTAGTGTTTTTCTTATTTATTTCAAAAAAAAAATTTTTTTTTGATTTTCTTTTGGATATTACATACATTATCAGATCAATCAATCAATCTTCTAATGTTTATTTCTGTTGTTGTAGTGGTTGTTGTTGTTATTAGTATGTTTGTTTTTGTTTGTTTGATTGATTGATTGATTGATATCTATTCATTTTTTTTTTCTGTTTGAATTTGAATTTAAATGTGTGTGTGTGTGTGTGTGTGTGTGTGTGTGTGTGTGTAATATGTTGCTTATTATTATGGTGATGTCAAATTATGGAGAAATTACTTTTTAGCATTATGGTTGATTTTTTTATTTTGTTTTCTTATTCATCACGAATCATCACAAATCATGATGGATGTCATGTATTTTTGTTTTCCTTGTTTTTTTCTTTTTTTTATCTTGCTGGTCATTTTATAGGATGAATGAATTGATAATCACGTGACCAATGTAATGATTGATTCATTTGTGTATAATGCATTCAAATATGAAATAAATCAAGCCATTGACCGCGAAATAAAATTGTGTCCACAGTGATCACACACACACACACACACACACACACACACAAAAGATCACAATGGAACAAAACGACAAAGTTCCAAATGACAAAAACAAATGAATACGAACCTATTACAAACACACACACACAGAGAGTTTAATCTAACCATTTTTCATGGTCACTCGATTCATTTTCAACAAAAACAAATGAACGATGTGAACAAGGGAAAAATAGGGAAATTTTAGTGTGACACACACACACACACACGCACACACACACCATACACACACACATTTAAATGGCAAATGAATTGACCGCCATGTCATGTGAGCAAAAAAAAAAAAAAAAAAAGATGAATGTGATTAATATGTGATAATAAAAAAAAATTTTTTTCTTTTTTCAATTCAGAATATGTCATGAAAAACAAGTTAATGGCATTTTTTCTGCTTCTCTGTCCAACAACAAACCATTTTGCCAATTATTTTATGACATTTTTTTCCATTGGTCGTTTGCTCAAAATATATATAGACCACAGAATAATAAGTGATCCAGTTAAAGATGATGATGCATTAGCTTTTGGCTTTATTGGGTAACACTTTTACATTCATTCATTCATTCATTCACTTTTGTTTTTGTTATATTTTCAAATTTCAAAGTTTTTATGATTCAACACTATAGAGGACAATGTGAAAATAAAACAACAACAACAACAACAACAACAACAAAGTGCGTGCCACCAGCAACATTATTTCCAACCATCCATGATACTCATCGTCATCAATGATATTAGAATATAGCGTGCCAAAACAAAACAAAACAGAAAAAAATGTTTGGTTCCAACAAAAAAAAAACGAAAAAAAAGTCACAAAAATCAAAATGAAAAGTGGAAGAAACAGTGCAAACAAGGAATGAGAAAATCTCCCAAAAATTTTCTTTTTCCATACAATGTGTGTGTTTGTTCCTATATACAGCATATCAAATAGGATTAAAAATAGCGAAACTCTGTAACATACTCTGAACTATTGTATCACTGTTGAAACTTGTATTCATTCATTCATTCATTTTTTCTGGGAGAAACACTTTGACTTTGTCAAATGTGATCTACACACACACAAGCCCATTCACACGCACACGAACTCGATCCATAATATGAAACAATACTGACAGAGAGGAACTAAACAACAGCCAAAAAAAAGAAAAAAAAACCATATCATTATCATCAAAATCACGTGTGTGCACTCATCGTCGTTATTATATGTCACACATGAAAAGTTGGATTTTTTTACTTCCATCATCATCATCATCATCATATATTACAGTCATATATATGAAAATGTGCGAGTGTGTGTGTGTGTGTGTGTGTGTTTTTCACGTTTTTTTTTCGTTTCAATAAATAGATGAATGTGGATGGATGGATGGATTGAAAAAAAAAATTTTTCAGTGGTTTCCAATCACAATTTATTACTTCTTCTTCTTCTTTTTCTTCTTCTAAATACACTTGGAACATAATAGCTAGCTAGCTAGCTATAGACACACAATAGAGCTATTTGAACACATAAAAACATAATCATTAATCATTGAATATATTTGTGTCCATAAAATTATTGTGTATGTGTGTGTGTGTGTGTTGCTTTTTCCATCAAATAATAAGCATCATTCAAATGGATGATGTCAATGTTGGTGATCACCAAAAACGAGAAAGTGAGTGAGAGAGAAAGAAGAGAGACCAGAGTAACCAGGAAAAAAAAATCGTTTGACAAGCAATTATCCCGTAATATCCAAGAAATGGGGAAAACAAAAACAGAAACCCAAAATCTATTAGCAAAAATCCATTGAAAATGAGTATGTGAGTGTGTTTATAATGTAAAAATGTGATCCATTTTACATCCGATATAAATTCTGTTCAAAGTTCAACATTAAAATGGACTGTGAATTCTGTGAATGAACCCAACCACCACCACCACCATCATCATTATTGTATCAAATGTGTTAATCTCTCTTTTGATGGTTGATAAAATTGGCTTTTATTATCACATTTTTGTTTTGTGGTCGCATATAGGATCATTCAAACAAATATTTCTCCACCCTGTATCATTAAAAAAAAACTATCTGAAATGATGATGAACATGTGTGAACCTTTTAGGCCAAAAAGACAAAATGGATTAGCCATACGAAAACAAATATTATCAATACCGTGACGCGATTCACATACACAGACATACAGAGAGAGAGAGAAAATGTTTCATTTTTGGTTCATTTCAAACAAATAAACCAAAGAAACCGAAAAAAACTGTTTACCAAACTATCCAACAACTTTCTTTGCATCGATTTTGTTTCCGTTTCATTTTCAAAAGCTTTGAAATAGAATTTTTTTTTCTTATTTTTACAATTTCTAAGCTAGTCAACAATCTAGTTTCACTCACACACACACACACACACTCACATACACACATTGAAACTCTTATCAAAGTCAAAGTTGATATCCGGTTTTCGATTGAAATTCAGAATGTGTATGTGTGTATGTATAAGTTTCAGTTCAATTCAATTCAATCTAATCGGTTTTTTTTTCGTTTGGTTCAGTTCGATTCAATTGGATTCAATAGGTCCCTAGAGTTCACTTTTTTCGCCATTCAACGTATTCGTTTTTCTCTCGTACTTACTATATCCATTAGATCATCGTTGAACTTTTCATTTTATTTTAGTTTTTTTTTAGATTTTTCGTAACAAAAAAACAAAACAAAATTCATTTGATTACTATTTTCACTGAAATTTGTTTTTTCTGTTTTATAATTTTTATGTGTGCAAAAAAAAAAATTCGAATCATGGCATTTTGTGCCATCTAGTGTCGAAATCAATAAAATTGACACAAAAAACAAAAATTTGAAAAAAAAATCTTCACATTTGTAAATATATAAAATGATTAATGATCATCATCAACTTGATGATGATGATCAATATGTTCAATATGATGAAATGATTAATCTTTTTTGCCATTAATTTTTTTTTCTCATCGTCATCTTTATAGCAATTTGCCAGATACACGTACACAAACACATTCAGTGATTTTTTTTTGTTGATACAAGCATACACACACAGAAAAAGTTTCAAATTAAAAAAAATACCAAAAAATCCACTGTGTAATTACCACCACCTAGTTGTTTCCTGAAATTCTGACTGCAAAAAAATTCATTCATTTAAAAAGGATTTATTTTCGTTTCATTTTTTTTTTACACTCATTTCTCATAATGTTCTCTTTCTCTCTCTTTTTTTTCTAGATTTTATCCATTCATTCATTTACTACGTATTCTGGCCATCGGTTGAATAAAAATTTTTCTCAAGAATGAAAATTAAATGATCAGAAAGTAAAAAAAAAATTAGAAATTTTGAAATGTAAAATCATAAACCAAAAAACGATAACGACAATCAATCAATCAATCAATTGAAAACAACAATAATTTTGGGTTTTTTACTTTTTTTTTGCCCTGAGAAAGACATTAAAAAAAAGTGCCATTCTCATCGTCATCATTCATCATCATCACTAAGCCTTTGTTTTTTTTTCTCACCACTCATTCTCACCTTTAACCCATTACTTTCAAATAATAATAACAACAACAACAACAAAAAAAATCAATAAATTCTCAATCAAGTATTGATTGTGTTGTTGATGATGATGATGAGAAAGAAAAATTTCAATTCAATCATCATCAATGATCAACAGCAACAACAACAACATATTGATCATAAAATATCGATAATGATGATCAATAAACAACATCAGCAGCAGCAGCAGCAACAACAACAGCATTATGATCGTTGGCGTGAAAAATATAAAAAACCAATAAAAATCAATGAATATGATGATAATGATATGAATTCATTAAGAAGAATAGAAAATATTGCCAAAATCAATAAAATGGCCAATAATCATCAAATATCAAATAATTCTGTGATAATTAATAATAATAAATGTTTTTATAATACATGTGATGATGATAATCATAGATGGACAATGTTGAAAAGAAGATATGATAATAATGATCTCTATAATGGTGATGATGATGATGGCCATGGCCATGATAATGCCATGATGATTATGTTTGAAAAAAGGCCTAAAAACAACAATGATGACCATCATCATCATTCTTATCAACAACAACAGAAACATTGTTGTTTTTATAATAGAAAAAGATTTAAACATCAAAATAGTCGATTATCATTATCATTATCATCATCATCTTTATTATCAGTGATCATATCAATATTGATGATGATGATGATAATATTGACAACAATTGGTGATTGTCGTCATTATATAGCACCAGGTCCATGTACTTGGACACATGTTATGATGTCCAATAATAATCAACAATTATCTCGTGATAGCCGTCTTAAGTCATCATCATCATCATTATCAACCCTTTCATCATCATCATCATCATCATCAACATTGACAATGAATGAGCTGAGTCATCATCATAATCATCATTCATCTTCATCATTATCATCATCAACATCGGAAACATTATCATCATCAAATGATTTTGATGTTTCATTACGTTGTTCTGTACCAATATTAACGCCTTATACATTGAATATATCACTTATTGATCCAATACATACTGTACGTTTAATGATTCAATGTTTTGGTACAAATAATGGTATTGGTGATGGTAGTAATGTTGGTGTCAATAGTGAAGGTATACATCATCTTCAACCAATATTTCAATTTGATGATCCACATTCATCATCGATCAATAGACAATCGATATTTCCACAACAGCAACAATCATTATATCAACGTTCAACATTATTACGCACCAGTAATATTGGTCATCATCATCAACAACAACCATTTGAACATTTACATTCATTACAATCATTACAGATTGATGATTGTCTATTCGATCGTATACCAACCGATACATTTCGTGGCCTATCATCATTGAAAAATCTCACGATTCGTCGTGCATCATCATCATCATCGTCAACAAGCAACATTCATGATGATAATAATAATAATAATAATAATAATAATAATGGTGATCAATCATCATCATCAAGATTAAATGATGAAAGTCTTTTAGTTGAACCGTATTCATTTCGTCATGTTGAATCAACGGTTGAACATTTAGATTTAAGCCAAAATCATATTGAATCATTACCAAATGATTTATTCTGTCCATTTTTAACATTACATACATTGAATCTATCATATAATCATTTGATAAATTTAGCCAGTTTTGGTCTTATAGATCCAGCAACTGGACGTCTTTGTTTACAAGAATTACATCATTTAGATTTATCTAATAACCGATTGGAATTTGTACCAGAAACAAGTGGTGTGGCTGCATTGAAAAATCTACAACATTTAAATCTATCTGCTAATCATATAACGGAGATTACTGAATTAGCTTTTTCTGCATTACGTCGTTTACATGTATTGGATTTATCTGGAAATCGTTTACGTACATTACCTGGTCGTATGTTTCGTGATTCGGATGAATTGCGTGAATTACATTTAGCAAATAATGGCCTTATTGAATTACCAATTGGTCTATTTCAAGGCCTTTCAAAATTACAAGTATTAAATGTTGCCGGCAATCAAATAACATCGGATACATTGACATCAGATACATTTGCCGATCTAATACGTGTTATTGTATTGGATATTTCTGGTAACAATCTACGACGTTTACCAGCATCAACATTTCAGAATCAATATTCATTACAAGTGCTTTCATTAGAATATAATGAATTGGAAACAATTGACGAAGGAGCCTTTTCAACATTATATAATCTACATAAACTTAAATTGGCTGGAAATCGTTTTCGTCATCTACCGGAATCAATATTATCCGGATTATTTGTATTACAGCAGCTATTATTATCACATAATCAATTGGAACATGTGCATGAAGATGCATTTAAAAATTGTAGCAATTTACAGGTTAGTTATTGGATTTTTGTTTGATATTTTTTTTTCTTCTCATTTATTTTCAATAATGCAAATGAGATGCATGAACCAGTAATGCCTTTCACATATACATACACACATACACAAACAAAAACACACATTGGCTTGTGTCACATGATGATAATGATGGCGAATTCTAATTAATTAATCTTAATTATAATTAATTGGTTTTTTTTTCTTCATTCAACAAATCACATTGCACATTACACACACACATTATATACAGAGGCATCAAATGTGTCGATTTCGCCATATGTGAGAAAAAAAAGAAAGAAAAAAAATCTCAATTTTCGCAATATTAACATTATGCATTTCATTAATTTTTTTTTTTCTTTCTTTTTTTTTTGTTTCATTTTTTTTCCACATCGACAATGAATATATTCTTCATGTATAGAATCTTGATTTATCTGCCAATCGTTTGACAACAATTCCCATGGCATTACGTTCATTGAATAAATTGAATCAATTGAATCTTTCGGGAAATAAATTCACAACATGGACCGATTCAACGGCATTGATTGGTACGAAAATTAAAAAATTAGATCTAAGCGATAATTATCTGGTCAATATAACCAGAAATGCATTACGACCGATTATGTCTACATTACAACAATTATATCTTGGCGGTAATCGTTTACGGCAATTGGATAAAGATACATTCATTGATCTACGTCAATCGTTACGTGTATTACGTTTAGATCGTAATGAATTCAATGATATCATTTCGGCTACAACATTTGCAACGATAAAACAATTGGAACGTTTACAAATATTCAATATTAGTCAGAACAAAATTCAACGTTTTGATTATTCAATCATACCAAATGGTCTAATTGTATTGGATATATCGGCAAATCGTTTAGAAACATTGGGCAATTATTTTGAACGTGATTTACAATTACGTTTAGAACAATTAGATGTTAATGGTAATCAATTGAAAGAAATCCAAGCAACATCCATACCAAATTCAATACGTGTACTGAATTTACGGCAAAATCGTTTGGAAAAAATTGATCAATTTGCATTTGTTGCCAAACATAATATCACCTTTGTTGATTTACGTAATAATTCTTTACGCCGTATTGATAATAATGCATTCCGTTTGGGTGTCCAAAGGCCAACAAATGGTTATTTTCAATTTGGATCATCCACATCATTACCGTTATCGATTTCACAAATAACCAGTATTGATAAAGATGATGAACAAGAATCAACCAATGAAAATATGATGAACGTTAAAAATCTACCATCACCAATATTTTTAATATCCAGTAATCCATATTATTGTGATTGTACTATGGAATGGTTACAACGTGTTAATCAATTAGTTGGTGGTGTAACCGGTTCTGGTACTATTTCAACATATCCAAGAATTGGTGATCTTGATCAAGTGGAATGTGAATTACCATTTTCACGTCAATCATTATTATTGTCTATTAATAATAAATCAACAACAACAACAAATGACCAACAACAACAACAATCGTCACAAGCAGCCACAATAACAAAAACGACAACATTGTCAAATAATTTAAAATCAAATAATTTTGTACCATTATTACAAGCAAATTCATCAAATTTCTTATGCCGTTATCGTTCACATTGTTTTGCATTATGTCATTGTTGTGAATTTGATGCATGTGATTGTGAAATGATGTGTCCAGAGAATTGTACCTGTTATTATGATCAAACATGGAATACGAATATTGTCGATTGTAGTGGTGGCCGTTATCGTCAGGTACCATTACGTATACCGATGGATGTAACATCATTATATCTAGATGGTAATCATCTACAATCATTGAATGCACATACATTTATTGGCCGTAAAAATTTACGCATATTACATTTGAATCATTCAATGGTTGAGACCATTTCAAATCGTAGTTTTAATGGTTTAGTTTATCTGGAAGAATTACATCTTGAAAATAATCTACTGACAGCATTATATGGTTATGAATTTGAAAGTTTACATTATTTAACAACATTGAATCTACAAAATAATCGTCTGTCATTTATTAATGATAAAACATTTCATCCATTACGTTCATTACAAACATTACGTATTGATCATAATCATTTACAAACATTTGGTCAATGGTTTGTTATGGACACTAATGCAGCATCGATGACAATAGCGGCCAATACACCACATTCACATCATCATATTCTTCATCATCATCATCATCAGAATAAATTATCCATACGTATTGGTGAAAATCCATGGTCATGTCAATGTTCATCATTGGCAATAATGTATGAAACATTATGGCAATTAAGACAACGAATATCGGTTGCTGATTATCAAGAAATACGTTGCCAACCAAATGGTTCAACATTATTCGTAGGTGGCGCAGCTAATCATCTGATTGATAAATGTAATCTTACCAGACAATATTATCTAATGTTGAATACACCAACAACATCTATTAGTTCATTGAATCCATTGATTGAACAATCATCATCATCTATAAATCAACATCAAGATTATTATCCTGCAACAGCCAAACCACCAACACCAGATCCATCAGCAGAACAGCCACCATCACAACAATCAACACAATCACCACATCAATCATCAGTACCTGGTTTATATCCACAGAATGCAAATAATTTTGATTCAATTTATCATCATCAATCAAGACCAATGAATCCGATTACGAACAACAACAACAACAACAACAATAATAATAATAATAATGATAATTCTCGTGTATCGATGCCAATCATTCCAAATGTAAATGATGATGAAAATGATCCAGATCTCACATATCAACCAATAGATTTATTGGGTGGTATACGACCAAAATTGCTGCCATCACCAGTAATGCCACCACCACCACCATTACAGAATCATTCTTCATATTGGCCATCTGGTTCACATTTTTCTATACCATCATCATCGTCGCCGTCATCGTCATCGATGCCATTCAATTCATCATCATGGTTTTGGATCATATTATTACCATCGATATTGTTGATATTATGTATGTTTATTTTTCTTACAATTCGTTTTAAACAAGATATACAATTATGGTTCTATGGCCGTTATGGTATACGTTTATTTGAGTCCGGTTTCTGTTTCGGTTCTAATGATAGTTCATCCGGTTCATCGGGTTCCGGTTCAGTTGGTTCCTCAAGATCACGTAGACGTGCCGGCCGTAATGGATTTAATGATACTTATGTTCGTGATAGTGAAAAATTATTCGATGCATTTGTCATCTATGCACGACAAGATGAATCGTTTGTTGCACAACAATTGGCAGCTGAATTAGAATGTGGTTATCCACCATATCGTTTATGTTTACGTTATCGTGATTTACCAGCTCCGACAAATGTTGATTCATTAACAGCATCACCAGGTTCCGGTACAACAATGGGTGTAATGACAACAAAAGATCATGGCTATGCATTTGATGCTGTTACACAAGCAATTGAATGTTCACGAAGAACATTAGTCGTTATTTCTGAACAATTTTTACAATCTGAATGGTGTAAATTTGAATTGAAAGCAGCACATCAAGAAACATTGACCAGTTGTAAAACACATCGATTAATTGTAGTGGTTGTACCAACACAAACACAGCAACAACAACAACAACAACAACATCTTCATCAACAACAACAACCATTAGTCAGTTCACCGATGACATCGCCAACATTATCATCACAAATGCCAATGAATAATAATAATAATAATAATAATAATTCACCAGCCAAACAGGCAGAATCATTATTACAACGTTTAGATTCAGAAACAAAAACCTGTATACGTGGTGTAACAATATTAACATGGCAAGAACGTCGTTTTTGGGAAAAATTACGTTTTGCAATGCCAGCTAATTCTACGATTGGTGGTGCTGCTGGTAGCGGAAATGGTGGCAGTGGATCATCATCAGGCGTAATTGGATCAATGAGTGGTGCACTTGGATCATTAACATTTGGTAATAATAATAATAATAATAATTCCACCATTGGTAGACATCAATCAAATCATCATGGACCTGTTGTTGATAATTTAAAAGGACGTACATCAACAGTTGTTGTTACAAATTGTGGTGGTGGTATTGGTGGTGGCGCTAGTGGTGGCTATCCAACATTAGCACCATCATCATTAAGTTCATCATCATCATTGGCACGTAGTTCAGTTTTATATGATTCAACGATAATGTCCAATAATAATCAACATCAACAACAGCAGCCAATATATCAACATCATTATCATTATGCACAATTACCACCATCAATGACAACAAATCAATCTGATCGATCAATTAATCAATCAACAATGTCATTACATAAATTGGGCAAAACAAATAATAATAATAATGATAATAATAATCAATCAAGCCCTATTGTAAGGAATCCATTTAGTACAAAACCATTACCACCACCACCAAATCAGCCATTACCACCATTACCATTGGTAAATAATAATTCAACAACAGCATCATCGACAACGACAACATCAGCATATAATTCTTCATTACAAAGTCCAATACTTCATTCACAAAATCAACATCCACATCATTATCATCAACAATCATCAATTGATCATCATAATAATAATCAGCAGCTACAGCAACAACAACAACAGGCACCACCACCATATGTAGAATATACTAATCAACAACAGCAGCAGCAGCAACAATCAATTATAATGGATCATCATTTACAGCAACAATTTATTATTGAATCAAATCCAGATAGTACAAATCATCATCATCAACAACAACAACAACAACAATGTTGAATCTACATGGTAGACGTCCACAGCAACAATCATATTATATGACACATCGTACAAGGGCACCATTATAATATCTTTGCAAATTTTGTAAATAATTTTATTTTTTCTTGTAATTTTTTTCTTTCAATTTTTTCTGTTTTTTTTTGTTCTTGCCACTTCCATTTTTTTTCACACAAGCCACAAACAAACATTTTTATGAATTTATGAATATCATTTTCTTTGGCCTTTTTTTTGTAATAATAATTGTAATAATTGTAATAATTATCATTGTGAATTGATTTCTGTGAACATCATCATCATCATTATTATGATTTTAAACAAACAAACAAACAAAACAAAACGAAAAAAACATTGAGATTTTTTTTTTCTTGTAATTTGTAATATTTTAATTAAGAAATATAATATGATTATTATATGTGTATGTGAAAAATAAAAAAATAAGAAAATTTTATTCTTTATATATTAAAATTGAATCGATGTGAACAAAATCAAAATCAAAAAACAGAAAAAAAGCATCCACTAGGTCACCATTAATTTGAAAATTCATTGATGTATTGCTGATATAGGCGAAAAAGCAGCAAACACACACACACACAGACACATGGAGCAGTGAATGTAGTGAAGTGAAAAAAAACGCTGATGATGATGATGATAAATGATTGATTGATTGATTGATTGATCGGATGAGTTTGAAATGAAATGAAATTTATATGAATGATGATGATGATGTTTGATTTGATGAATATAAGAAAACAAAAACGAAAGCATTTTTCAATTACAAATTTTTTAGTTAAATGAATTTCAAAATTGGTGAAAAAAAAGGAAAAAATCAATGGCCAACGAACCGGTGAGATGGAAAAAAAAGCAGATTTTTTTTATCGTTTTGTTTTGTTTTTTTTCAAATTTAAACATGAGCAATGAAAAGAAGAAAAAGTTCAAATTTTTGTTGTCATCAACCATATAGCAAAGAGTATTTGTCGTCGTCGTCATTATCATCATCATCATCATCATCTATTCAATGGTCATAAACACACACAGACACACACACTAAAAAAAAGTTGTAATGAGTGTGTGTGTTTCGTGTATATGTTAACAAGCAACATTATACCACCAATCACAAACACCATTTTTGGAATTAAAAACAGTACCAATTGGACAAAGAAATGAATGCATTTGGCCATTTTGACAAATATGCCATACTTGACAACCGGTTTCTTCATCAGCATAAACACCATCGGATCTTTTATCACCACATTCAAATGATGTTTTCGGTATTGTACTCAATGATGCTTTTGTTGATTGATGTTGATGATGCATTAATGTTGCACCGGCAATACCTATTGGTTTACGTGATTTTGTTGATTTTTTCGGCAATTTATCATTATCATTTCTTGATGATGGTTGCTGTTGTTGTTGATGATTACGATGACGGCCAGTTGATGATGGTATTAATGAATTATGATTCTGATGGCTATTAATTGTTTCCGATGTTTCAATCATATCATCATATCGTTGTTGTTGTTGTTGTCCATCATTGTAATTGATATTATCATCTTCATCTGAATAATCATCATCATTATCATCAATATTTGGATGATTTTTACCAGTCAATTTATTATTACGTAATGTTTGTTGAATTCTAATCGTTGATGAGTGGTCCCAATTCATTCGATTTGATAATGTTGATGATTGATGATTATTATTATTACGACGACGTTGTGATTTTTTTGATTTTTGACGTTTTCTCATTGTATTGTTTTGACGATTTCTTGTACGTCGTGTTTTATTCTTTTTTTTTGATAATTTTTTTTCGCGGGAAAAATTTCGATAAAATGAAAAAAAGAAAAAAAACAGAAAAATTATTAGCCAGAATAAATGAATGGGAAATTTTTTTCATTTAAAATTCTATAGGATTACATCAACAACAATTGCAACGAAAATTGTAAAGAATTTAGCTTCTCATTAAACAGACGATGACAATGATAATAGGATGATTTGCTGATAAATTACTGTGTCTTTTTCTCACATTTCAAATTGAAAGAAATTTTTTGCAAAATGAACAAAAAAAAATTAAATGAATCAAATGTCGAATGACAAAAGACAACACAAAAGTTTAAATTGTTTAGAATAAAAAAAAATCTTGAAATTTTGTCTTTGTAAAGTTTCCACATTTGAAACAACAATATTCTCGTTACGAAAAAAAAAAAAAAAATTCAAATGACAAATTCTGATTCATGATTCTTTCTACAATCCAAAATGATGATAGACCATTTCTCTTTTATCTTCTGTATGCGTGTAATTGCAATTCTTTCATTTTTTTTCATACAATAGAAAATCTATATGCGTTAAATTGCTGTTGTGTAATATACTAAACTGCAACAATAATAACCACCGATGATCATCAAGATGATGATGATGATGATGACAGTTGTAATAATCGGTCTAAATTCAAAGCTTAAGATTGTTTTTTTTTCGCTTTTGAAACAGAAACAGAGATGGAGAGAGAGAGAGCAAAAATTCCTGAAATGAATGGAATCAAACAAATGAATGATACTGACAATAAACCGAATAATATAAAGGGAGATGGAACAAACGAAAAGATTTTATTCTTTTTTTTTCGTTTGGCCAGAAATAAAAACGATAAAGAAGAACAGGACCATCAATTATCAAATCAAATCGATTAATAACGAACATCCCAAATATAGCACACACATGCACACACACAAATTTTGTTGGAAAAAAACGAGACACCACCACCACCACCACCATCAACCCAACCATTCTTTTTTTTCAATCTCATTCAACTTGAACATTGAAAAAACACCCACCAATACAACCATCATCATCACCACCACCACCACCACTAAAAAACAATATAAATGAGAGAGAGAGAGAGAGAGAAAGCAAAAATAAAAAACACAATCTTTTATCATTCTTTCACACACACACACACACACACACACACAATTCACAATCATCATCATCTCCATTATTTCCTTTTCCAGTTGTTAGAATGTTATGGAATGTTCCAACCAGCCAACCAACCAACCAACCAACCAACCATCCGACCGACCGACGAACCAGCTCAATAACCAAAACGAGAGAAAAAAGCAATTTTTTTCGTCTTGTTCTCTTTTTGATCTCGACAAAACGAAACGAAATATATAGATCGACTGATTTTAAGTGGGCACTAATTGGTACAGTTTTTTTTTTTTTTTTGGTTCGACAACATCTTTCATCGCACATTGCTATTATTTTTTTCGGAGCCATCATTTTGCACCAAGAAAAAAAAAAACTTAACTTAAATGATGATGATGATAACGACATTGATATCATTGTAATGAAACAAAAACAAAAAAAAAAAAAACGGGCATAATACAAAAATGAAAAAAATCGTTTTTTTTTGTTGGCTGTTGTCAAGATAAAAAAAAAATAAAGTAAAGTAAAATAGAAATAGGAAAGAGAACCAAGAGAACCTTATTTGCCATTATATTTTTTTTTTGTTGTTGTCTCTCGATTCTGTTATCAAGATTATTACAAAGATGTATGGTAACTTCCTTCTGATAGATATTCTTTTCTTTCTTTGTTTCCTTTTATCATGCTATTCTTGTGTGTGTGTGTGTGTGTGTGTGTGTGTTTGGTACAGAAAGTTTAATTTCCGTTTTCTTGTGTGTGTGTGTGTGTTATACATTGCCATTTTTGTTTTTATCTTTTGTTTCGTTTCCATTTCAATCGAGCCGGATGACAAATCCAAAACAAAACAAAACAAAACAAAACGAACAACAACAACAACAAAAAATGTTTGACATTCATATCATTGACTGATTATCATGATGATCATTTGACATTATCATTGTGGACAAACAAAACTGACCAATGGACCAAAAAAAAAAGAAATTCAACATTCTTGTGGACAATTCTTTGAATTTTTTTTTTTTTTTAACAAAAACATTTCAGCAACATATAATATCGATTTGTTTATTATTTATAATTTCATTTGAATTTTTCATTGATTATATTAATCAATTTTTTTTCTTAATTGCAAACCATGAAAAAAAACATTCACATTCAAGTATAATTCAAATAATAATGAACTATAGTTTGGTTGTGGTAGTAGCATATGTAGTGTAGTGTTTTTTTCTGGCTTTTGTTCATTTTTTTTTTTTTTTTTTTTGGTTATCATCATCATCAGTTTTCTTTGAAAAGATTTTTTTTTCTGTTCATTTTTTTTTTCATTTTCCAATTTTTATAGTGATCCATCATAATTCAAAACACACACACACACACGAATAAAAAAGAAAAGAATGTCTATAGCCATACAGTGGAACAATGATGATGATGATGATGATGAGAAACACTCTTATTCTTTTCCATTGGTTCCAATGGCCTAGTCTGTATCTGTATAGTTCATGGCTATGTCTATTTTCTCAATCAATCACCGATTGGCGGCAACCAAGACTTATTTCAGAAAAAAAAACTTGAACCGAAAAATGAGAATCGAAAGAAAAAAAATCATAAAAGAGATACAGAGAGAGAGAGAGAGAGAGAGGGCAGAAAGGAAAAATTCTTTGGTTCATGGATTCTCTATTTCTATTTGAAACCTATCATCATCATCATCATTATTAAACATTGAATTTCTTTTCTTTTCTTTTTCATTATTGCACTTTGACTTTTTGGATTGTTTGTACAAATGGATTTTCAAAATTTCAAAATCAAATAAAAGTACAAGATGATGAAAATAACCTATCTGCTGTGGTGATGGTCTAAGAATTTTATTTTTTTTCTGGTTTCAGTAAACGAACCAATAACAACAACAACAACAACAACAACTTTTTTTCGGTTTTGTTTCTGGTTTATTTTTTTTTTTTAGTTCTCATTCTAATTTTGGGTGTGTGTGTGTGTTTGTACGTTAAAATCAATGATGATGATCGACGACAGCTAATTGAATATTCATCTTGGGCGTCGAACTTTTTTTCTCTCTCTCTCTCTCTCTCTCTCTCTGATGGTGGTCCAATTTCCATATCATTTTCTTTTTTTTTTTTTGTGTTTTCCCACTATATTTCTTTATTCATTCAATATTTGGGTTTTGTATTTTTTTTCCTTCTTTGATCATTTGTAAACCCTTCAATTTTGTTAGCTAACACACACACACACACATCTAATTCTTTCATCTGCTCTATATTCACTGACTTTCGATTTTCAATTTGTCATTTGCCAATTTTTTTCCACTCATTCATTCATTTATCGTTGATTGGTTTGATTCTAGAATCTAGATTCTAGATGAACAAAGCAAAGAAAAAAAATTAGCCTCATTTCACAGTTGATGATCATTATTATTATCATTTAGAATTTTTTTCTCTCTCTCTCTCTTTTCTCTTTTTATGATTCTTTTGAAAAATTCCAAATTCTTTTTTTTTCTTGAGTCAATTCATCATCATCATCATCATCATCATTGTTGTAATAAAAATTCTTGTGAAAATCAACGAAAATTTTTGTCCATTAAAATCAAGTAAAGTCAGATCAATGATAATGATAAGTAATTCTTTTGTGTTCCGGAATAAAAAAAAAAAAATTCTCATCATCTTGAAACTTTTTTTTATATTTAATATTTAGAAATTCATTTCTACTACTAATATCATTTCATAATGATCATGATTAGATGGCCACCACCACTACCACCACCACCACCACCGTCGTCGTCGTCGTCGATAAATCTAGATGATACGAAACAATTCAATAATAAATGATACACGTGCCAAAACAAAACAAAAAAAAAAGAATGTGAATCATATGATTCATTATAATAATGATGATGATCTAATGTCATCAGGAATTATTATTATCATCATCATCTATATGGCTTTAGCATTCGAATCGATTATCATTATTTGGATAACTATACCATGAGATATATGTAGAAAAATAATTTTCGATTCCATACAATTTTTATTAGAAGATATATTTTTGCTTACGAGAAAAAAAAAAAGTCTAATAATAATTCCAGTGGATAATAATAACCAGTGATAATAATGATATATAATATAGACCCAACTTCATTGTCCACTCTCTCTCTCTCCGATTCTGTTGATTTTTCATCAACATTCAGAAGCGTTTAGAAATCGTGCTCTTTCATTGAACCTTGCTTTTTTGGCGTTTAGCCAAAAACAAAGAAAAAAAATCATTCTCATCATTATGTATCGAGGTGGTGGTGATGGTGGTTGATCAAAGAGAATTTTTTGTTGTTGTTGTTGTTGTTGTTATAACACTCAATCATATAATACACACAGTAGTGGACACACGCACACACACACACACAGTGAAAAGTGTCAGAACCAGAAACAAACAAAAAAAAAAAATATCAGACGGATTCAATCGGATCGCTTTAGTAAAACTCCTAATAAGTGTATATGCGTGTGTGTGTGTGTGTGTGTGTGTGTGAGTTGATTCCCAAGAGTTAATTTTTCGCTTTTATTTCGTTTTGTTTATTGGTTTTGATCCACCAGAAATGAAAATGAGAAGAGGATTTTAGTATTCAAGCTTAGTAACATCATCATCATCATCATCATCATCAGTGCAAAATGTTTCAACATTCACAATTTGTTCACAATTGGAAATTTTTCATACTTATCCACTTATAAATGTGATGATGATCCAACAATCGGATCAGATCGAATAAAGTTAAACCAAAGTGAAAAAAAAGTCATTTCAGAATCATTGTACGTGTGTATATACTCAGAATCCATTTTTTTCCCCGTAATAAGAAATCGTTTGTTGTCGAAATGAAAAAAAAAGTTGTTAGAAACATGACAAATTAATACATATATATCACATTGAAATATGACCACCAATTTTTATCATTTGTCATCATCATTCAAGTGGTGGTATCAATTTTTTTTTAAATATCCAAGCAGAATCCAGGCAGAATCGAGGATGAAAAAAAAGTTCATGTGATTGTGGAACAATAACCAGAATAAACATTTTATAAAAATTTACATTTCAAATGCAAGTGCAAAAATAAAACTTGATAATCTCTTCTCTTTTTTTATGGTTCGAATAAACACGTTTGTCCCAGTTGAACTTTTGGACACACATTTTGTTACTAAAATTGGAACGTTTATTTTTTTTTCCTGTCGATGACGTACTGAATGATTCTGAATGGAAAAGTTTTTCAAGTTTTGTAGAAGAATACGAACGAATGAATGAATGAATGGAAGAAAAAACTTTAAAAACAAAGAATTGATGATTCAGCTAGAATGTAATTACCATCACCATATTTGACTGGTTTATATATATTTTTTATTCGTCTTCATTTTCATCCAGTTTCTATCAAATGGACATAATACACTCTGTTACAAAGAAATAACACACACACACACACAAAAAAAAAAATTTCAACCGGACAATTTGAAATTAATGGAATTTTAACAGTGAAAAAAAAGAGAAAAATCAAGAATTGAACGGAAATTCGGTTGATGGTGGTGATGAAATAAAATAAAATAAAAACAAAACAAAATTCCGGCACATTTTCGATTCTTTTTTTTTCCTTTGTTCACTCATTCAAGAGACAGAGAAAAAAAATTGGGTGAAGATTTATAGATTTTCAACATCACATCACCACATTGTCTTGTCTTTACAAAAGAAGAAAAGAAATAAAAAATCCAAAGAAAATAAAAATTCACAGCAGAATATTAGTGCATGTCAAAAGTTTTTTTTGTTGTTGGATGAATTCTTTTTAAACAAAAAAGAGAAAATTTCTCATTTCCACAATTTCTGACAATTCTGCATTCTACGAATTTATTTTTTTTTTTTTATTATTTTTTTACAAGAATTCAATTTTTTTTTCAAAGACAACAAAATGTTTGACACACACACACACACATATACGAACAGTGAAAAGCCCGTAGGGAACAAGCAAAAAAAAAAAATGTCCCATTGATGACCATTATTATTATTATGAAAACAAAAAATTCAATTCATCTCCAAAAGATCAGAATGAAATCAGTTCATATTCTTTTAGGCTTAAGAGAATTGGTAGAATTTTTTCTTTGTTTTTCTTTTTAGTTACTACCGAGAACCAAGCAGAAATGAAATTCAAAGAAAACAGAATTGAAATTAAACGGATCGACAAATTCACACACACACACAAAAAGAGAGAAAATTCGATTTGTTTCACAAAAAAAAAATATAAATATAATTCCGGGTAAAAGAAAATTGAATCCACTGCAATGGCAATTGTAGTTAATAATAACGAAAACAGCAACAACAACAGCCAGAATTGTGTCTGAACCAATGAAATAGTTGAACGAAGCATCTTTTTCATCGTTTTATCTATCTATCTATCTGGATCTAGCTTTGGGCTATTTTTCTTTCCTAAACAAAACAAAAAAAAAATATATTGCATTTAAACACACAAAAACTAATACTTGGTCCATTGAATTTGGTTTGTCTCTGAAGTTGTTGATATGATGATGATGATGATGATAATAAGATGATTCTGAAATTATATTCCACGTCATCATCAATGTTCATTTGTTTTTCTTCCTTTAATTCTTTTACAAATTCCGGTTACCGGAGAACGAAATGGTTATATTCATCAATCAGCTCAAAAAGTATATAAATTTATCATATTTTTGTTGTTGTTGTTGTCGAAACGGAAAAAATGTTTGGGTAGAAATAGAAATAGAAATAGAAAGAAAAAACGAAACTTTGTTTTTGTCTTTCTACACCAGAAAAAAAATATTGACCATATCATTCATCATTTATCACCAAAAAAAAAAAAAAAAACAGAAGAAACATTTATGGCCGAATGAATTTCAAACACCAGACATCAAATTACTTTTTTTTGTTTTTCTCTCACTAGTTCTTTTTTTTTATTCGCGTGAATGAATATTTTTCTCTCTCTCTCTCGATGTGAGCAATGTAGCAAATGATTCCAGAATTTTTGAAATGAGAAAAAAAAACGTCCATATTCACACATACACCCCCACACACCCACATGATGATGATGCCTTTAGGCTATATTCATTCATTTAATTTTAAATCTACCATAAATTCCATTATAGATTGATCATCATCAACATCATTATCAACCCTATCGAAAAAAAAACTAAATGAAGAAAAAAAGAAATTTGTAGAATTGATGACTAAAAAAAAACTCGAAAACAAATAGAATCGATCGATGCTATAGGGCGTGCATCAATGATTCATTCGCACACACACACACACACACACACCATAATAGTATCTATTGGACCGATAGATGTGTTACAGTATATCATTTGATGGTGATAATAATAAATTGCAAAATTAAATGAAATTTTCAATTGCCTAAAGGCAAAAATTGAGAAAACAAATGAAACAAATGGAATCGGTGTGCGAAAAAAACAAATCCAATGAAAAACATCCACACACACACAAAGAAAGAAATCGCGTATGATGAAAAATAGACAATCGATTTCAAATGATGCAAAAATTCAACGAACCAAAAAATATTTTGCCCGTTTAGTTTCATCGTCATCATTATCGTTTTTGTTGATTCATTTCGTTGTGAATCAAATAAATCAATAAACGGTAAATCGAATTGAAACTTTTTTTTTTTTTTGAATCAAGTGTCCTGGAATCAAGTGATCGAGTATTTTGAACGTACGCATTTTGAATTTTAATTCAAAAAAAAAAAATTTTGTTTCTTGTTTCTGACGCTTTTATCGATTTAAATGATCACACACACACACACATTTGATTGGATGATCTGTTGAAATCGATATGTTTAATACATAGCCACCACTGTGTGACTATGTTTAAAATTTTTTGTTTTGTTTCGTTGCAACTGATTAATCAGGAAAGTTTTTCAAAACGAAAAAAAAACAAACACTAACTTTTCGTGAATATGGCTCCGATAGCGCCATCTGTGTACGTTGAATTGAAGGTTTTGGTACATATCCATTTAGGCTATACATTGCTGGACGATTTACTTTTGGTAATAATAATTTCGGTATTCGTAATGGTCGTTTATTGATTGTTTGTTGTTGTTGTTGATTAGCATAACGTTCAAATAATAATGCTGTTGTCGGTATTGTTGTTGAATTAGTCACATCATCCGATTGTGATCCATTTGTTTTGTATTTATTACGATTTCGTCGATTTACTTGCCATAAATCTAAATGAACAAAAAAAAACGAAAAGAATTTATTTCAAAATCCGATCCAAACACCACAATTAGCATACCTTTGATCAATGTTGATTCTTCAGAATTTTTTCCTCTTGTTTCCTCAGAATCATCCATAATGGTCGATGGTGTTGATGTTGTTAACGATTCCGATGATGATGATGATGATGATTTTTCGGGCTGATATCGATTTTTAATCGATTCATCATTATCAGATTTACCATCAAGTAATACAAATGAATCGATTCGTTCAACAGATGAATTATTTGGCTGTAATTGTTGTTGTTTTGATTCGGATTCTGATTCTGGTGGAATCAATGCTACAACATCAACATCACCATCAACAAGCTGATAATATTCAGGTGATGATTTAACATCCAAAATATCCTTACAGAATCATAGAAATAAAAATTAAATTAGATCAAAAAAATCATTTCAAAAAAAATGATCATCATGAATATTACCTTATCATCACGTGTTTGATTATCAACAATCAATTCTAGATTACTATTTACTTGTGGATATTCATAAACATTTACAAATGGTTCATTCATTATCATTGTAGTACTACTACCACCATCACTACTACTACTACTACTATGATTATTATCAGAATTTGTAAGAATTTCTTTTGAATCATCATCATTATTATTGATTGATTCAATTTCTCTACCATCATCATCATCATCATCACCAGCATTTGTAATATTGATAGAATTCCCATTATTATTATTATCAATCATATTATCATCTTGATCTTGTTGTTGTTGTTGTTGTCGTCTTTCATTCACATCTATTATTATTGGCGATTCTGTTGTTGTTGTTGTTGTTGTCGTCGTTGTCATTGGCATTGTTATTTCTTTATTATCATCATCATTATTTGATTGTAATGAACGACCATAACCACTATTGGTAAATAGTCCAATACGTTTAAAAAATGCTTTTGTTGTTGTTTGTGGTAAAAATAATGGTGGCATATAATGTTGAAATGATTGGCTACTTGTTGATTCTTCCGTATGTAATAAATCAGCTGCTGATATTGATGCTGTTGATGGTGATGATGTAGATTCAATGGATGATGATTGTTGCTGTTGTTGCTGTTTTTGTTGTTGAATACTATTATTAGGTTGTTCAATAAATAATCCACCGATATTCATCATCTGGCCAGTTGATGATGATGATGATGTATCAGTATTATCATCTTCTAATGCATAAAAACATTTGGGGGATATTGAATCATTTGCCATTTCATCCGTTATATTTGTTGTACGAATCATTGATAGACAGATAATTTTTTCACGTTTTGGTAACAATGATGGTGATACCATTGTAGTAGCCATATCAGCAGTAGCAGGTATTTCAACAGCTGTATCTGTTGTTATCATTGTTGTTGTTGTTGGCGGTGGTGGAAAAGATGTTGATGTCGATTGATGATAATCCAATCTATTCATCATTGATGGCTGTTGATTGAATGTTGATTCAATAGTTATATCATCCATAATAATTGAATCATCTATCATTGAATTATTCAAACGATTTGCATTTTGTTGTTGTTGTTGTTGTTCTTTAATTATATGTTTTTTTCGTAATTTTATTACTTTTTTCAATAATTTTCGTTTATTATTCAAACGTAACATTGCCAAATCACTTGGTGTGAGTACATCAAATTCATTTGATCTTCGTACTTTCATACGTCTTCGTTGTCGACGAATAATTCTTGCACGTTGTGACATCGATAACAATGATGATGATTCAGATCCATTGATTATAGAATCAGAATCTAATTCAAGAAAAAAAATGTTAAATGAATGAAAAAAATTGAAAAAAAACAAATACCTTGCTGTTGGCCAGAATTTTCATTATCAGATAACGTAGTAGTAGTAGTAGGTAGTAGGCGATGTTGTTGTACTTGCATCATCATTATCATCGTCAATAATCGATGGTGCCATCGATTGTTCTACAACAACAACAAAAAAAACATAAATTTCAATTATTATTCAGTTTTTTATTTGTTTGTTTTTAACACTCGATTAATTTTTACTTTCATTTCAGGTTGTTAAATAAATTTTAATTACAACAACAACAACAACAACAAATGTCAAAAAATTGTTTGCAGTCAAATTTTGTGTGAATTTATGACAGAAAAATTTCGATTCTTTTTTTTGGTAAAAACAACAACAACCACAAGACATAAATTTTCTCATTGGTCATTTTGATGTTTTTTTTTGTCTCACTTTCAGGTTTAAAATAATGAAAATGTCAAGGCTAATTGATTGTTACCAGGAATGAATGTGCGGGCAAAAAAAAATTTTTCATTTCATTCCAAAATTTTTCATTACATTTTCCATGATGAAAATAAATCTTTTTGAATCATCCACAATTGTGGCTGCTTCTACTGCTGCTGCTGCTGCTGCTGTCGTCGTCGACGACGACGACGACGACAATGATATTGAATTTCAGCATTTTTTTTTGGATAATTTGAAATTTTTTTTTCACAAGAAAAATTGAAAACAAAACTTTGAACGAAAAAAAAAAATTTGTTACATTCTTATTTTGGTGTTTGTGTGTGTGGTTAAAAAACACATTAGTTTATCAACAACAACAACAACAACAGCAACAACAATTACACAACTTGATAATTATTCATTATATCCTGGAGACATTACAAATCAATCATAATTTGGAGTATTGAATTAATTTCATTTTTTTTTCATCAATAAAAAAAACTCGGTGTTTTTTTTTTGCTTCAAAATTTTGTCAATTAATGTAGAAATAGCACAATTGAGAGAATGATGGAAATTGAAATGAAAACGATATATAATGATTATATGGGGAAGGAAATGAAAGAAAAAAAAACTATCGATCGATTGATTGATTGATTGATTGATTTAAATTGATTGATTGATCGATCGAATGATTGATTTATTTGAATTGAATTGATTTGAAATTAAATCAAATTTTTGATTTGTCAAAATGAATCTGTATGTCTATCTAGTAGGTATGTTGTGTGTACGTGCAAACATTTTTTTTTCTTCTTTTTCTTGTTTGCCCATAAAATGAAATGTGCTCTTGGGCAATCTCTTCAATGTATCGTTTATTGTGAATTTTTTTTTTTTTTTGGCGGTCATTAATAAGTAGTGGCCACCAATAATGATGATGATGATGATTGAATGTAATAAGAGTTAATTTGTCATTGACAAGGAAATCACCATTGACATTAGGATCATATTCATATGGGGAAAAAAAAGAAAATAGAAAAAAATTTCTGGATTTCTGTGTGTGTGTGTGTGTGTGTGTGTGTGGACCAATTGGATATTCTTTCCAAATAGCAAGCAAAATGAATAAAGAATCCAAATGATAGACATGAATGAATATTCAATGATGATGACTTTTCAGTTTAGTTTAGCTACACAGAAAAAAAAATTCATAGCTACCATAGATTATCGAGTATCCACTTTTAATTATTATTTTTGTACATCAATTTTACTCGATTATTGAGTGATGAATAATTTGCTGCGGTTGTTGTTGTTGATAATCCATTTCACCTTGTTTTTTTTGTTTTGTTTTTTTTGATGATGATCTCAAATTGCTTAGCACTGTGGATTAAATCTCTGTTTTCTAACATCAATCGATTCACGAATATATTGATTTTTAATTGTTTTTAATTTCACAGTGAATAAATGAAAAAAAAACTTGTTAACAATTCAATGATGATGATGATGATGATGATGACGATAATGATGGCTATTATGAGAACTTGATTCATGAACGCGTGCATTCAACAGAACAGAACAGCAGCACGTGCGGTTCGTGATACAAGATAAGTCGAATGTTTTTTTTTTCGTTTTTTGTTTCACTCAATCATTGTCCATGATGTTGGAAAGAAAAAAAATCAATTGATAATCGAGATTTTATTTTCATTCCAAAATATGATTAATATGAGAAAAATTGATTCAATTTTTTTCACATTTTAATCCAAAAAATTTTGTTGTTGTTGTTGCCATTATCAACAGGTGTTGATGAAACTACAACAACTACAACAACAACAACAACAACAACAACGATTCGTTTAATAATCAATTAATAACAAATTTTTCTATTCATTTTAATTTTGTATTACATTTCCAATGTTTTTTTTCCCCCCAAAAATATATGGCCTTGTTTTATATTTGAACTCAATGTGTAACGAGAAACAAAAAAAAAATCTGCATATAGAACGTATATGTGTGTGTGTGTATGGGAAAGTTTCACATAAATTAAACATTATCGTACATTGAACTGTTTATTATTGCCAATATTTTTTTTTTTGACAACAGCAAAATGAATTTGATTTAATTTACAGTCACAAAATTTCATTTCATATTTTTTTTTCTTCTTCTTCTTCAATCAGAATCATTGAGAATGTGTAACACACACACACACACAAACGCGCGCGCTTGAAGATAAACAAAATAATCCTTTTTGAATTTTTTTTTTGTGTGTTTCAAAACAGAAAAAAAAATTGTCATTCATTTGTCCAATCAATATCGTTCAATCAATGATTTTTTGTTTCAGCACACAGAGATCATATCAGAAAAAATGAATCAATTTTTGTCGAATTCGAATGGATATCGATAATCGATCTGCAGAAATAATGATAATATTGATTAATTATACTGTAGAATGTTGTGGGAAAAAAAATTCCACAACACGTAGAATTAATAATTGAACTTGATAATTTTTTTTTGTTTGGAAATTATCATTACATAACGCATTCGATACGGAACTCTTTCTGTACGAATGTATTCAATATAAATTATGATTATTTTTTTGCGACAAACAAGAGAGAGAAAAAAACAACAACAACAACAAAAATCAATCTAGTTTGAAATTGAAAGTGACTGCTTAGATTTTTATTTTTTTTTTTCACTGAAATCAATCTTGAAAATTCAATCAATCCATTTTAAAAGATTGATTGAATGACAGTTTTTCAGTAGATTCAATGATTGCCCAAAAAAAAAAATTTCGATTTTTTTCCAGTATAATTACAAATGTGTTTTCGTTAGTCGATGACGAACGGTTTACACATGGTGGATGTACAGAAACAACGACGACGACAGTCATAGATATTCAATTTGATGGATTAGATGGATTGTAGTAATGTCTATTTATTTTGGATGTTGTTGTTTGATCCAAATTTGAAAAATGCAGACAAACACACTCACACAAATCTACCTGCATGACCTTCAAATTGACGAATAATGATATTTTCATGTTTTTCATTTTAATGTTGGAAAAAAATTTATTGCCTACGATTAAATCATTGTAATGTTATAATCAAAAACAAGAAGAAAATTAATGAGAAATGAAAGAAAAAAAAATTGAAGCAAATTTTCGATGAAAAAAAATGACATTTTTTTTCGTTTCTGTGTTGTTGATTTTGTCTTTTTTTTTTTTGGCTTGAAATGATAATTCCACAACAACATAGATATTGATTTGAATATCACAGTCTGAGCTTCTCATCCATTTTATTTATCTGGACAAAAACAAAAGATCAGAATCAATTCAAGATTCAAACAAACAAAAATAACAATCAAGGCGTAGTTTGATATGTATGGAATGTGATCCAAAA